CAACCAGTCTGATTGATCTCATTTTTAATCTTTATTTTAAAAGCAGGTTAGTTATATTTTCCTGAAAAACGGAGGGAGAAAGAAATGCAGCTGTATTAGGGTTATATCTATATSTGCGTGTGTGTGTCTAGAGTGGTAAAGTGGAATAGCGGTTCTCACTTGGCTGAAGTAAAAGGCGATCTAAGTTTTGTTTGGTTTTATCATGTGAAGTAAGGACAAGAGCCTCGCGGGCCTGTGGGATGGGCTGTTATTCCATTTTTCCCCTCCTGATGGGGCAAGCAGAGCAGATGGGGAGCAGCCTYCTGCTCTCTGGGCACCCACTGCAGCCCCTGCGTGCTCAAGCAGGCCCGCGTCACATATGTGACACTGTATTTTAAAGCATCAAACCAAGTACCTGAGAAAAATACTGCCTTCTCGTCCTGCGGGGCCTCGTACACGGCATCGATCTTCTCAGGGAGGTCGGGCCAGAAGGTGGCAACCAGCAGCGGCCCGGTGGGTTTTCCACGAGGGTTCACGGTCCTCCACATGAACCTGAGGCAGACAGAAAGTTGCAGGAGGTTTGCAGTGAGCTGGCAACGTGGCCAAGGCCACATACGGGTGTGCACATGTACTGTAGTGACTAAAAGGATGCACAGTTCCTTGGAAAGCCCCTTGCTAAGGCAGCTGCATGAGGTTCTGTGTGCTGGACCACGCATGAAGTTGTAGACGATGGTTGTTGACACCTCTTGTTGCCTCTTGCATGGGAGCAAGATGCATCCTGTGCCTCTAATATACCAACAAACTCATCAGCTAGCTGCTCGTGCAGCTGGAGACCTCCTGCCATCACACTGCAGCCCCTGGGCCTGACAGAAGCGGGGTCTGCATTCTGTGAAGTGCTCCTGCAGTTACTACTGCAGTGCCTGCACGTTCACATTTAGTAACRGTGCGTCCGGCAGCTTGGAAGGGAGCCCCACTGTGCAAGGGGCTGCCAGCCCTAAACATGTTCACTGGAGAAATGCAAAGGGTAACTCGCTGGCTTTTATGTATAAGCTGGATCATCACTGAAAGATGTTTTAAGTTTTTAAACATCTTGAGAGGGTGACGCTTCGTGCTGAGGGTATTAAAAGTGGCACTGCTATTTCTGCCTCCAAAGAACAACCAACCTTTTTTCCCCATGAAAATAAAACTTCTAATTTAATGAAATGGAAGTCCAACAAGGTAGTGAGATTCCACAATTAAAAAATCATCATCAATGAGCATCACGTCAAATATCTTTTACTAATAATATCCTGTCATTATGTCTTGTATGTTGCTGAGGCTCATGATGCTCCTAGCACCTTCCTCCTTTAGAGCGATAAAGAGTCACTGCCCATTCCTACCTGCAGTCTTGAGTTGGGAAACTCAAGAGCTGAAAGGGGATTAGGGTTTTCCCTAAAACTTGGAAGATCAGACCTAAATTAGTTTTGTAAATTGCTGTATTATCAACAGATGTTTAACTGAGAACAAATGAAGTTAACTGGGACATAGGAAACGTTCTGAAATACATTTGCAAGTATAATTATTTGCAGCATATTCAATTATGATTGTCTGTAGTGCTTGCTTGCCAGTGTAACTGGCAAAATGCATTATTTTCACCTATTTTTAAATTGAAAATGAATATTTATTTAATCCGACATATGATCCTTATAACTAAGCTAGTAAGGCATTTTGCATACAGGTATGTCTTTTTAACGTACAAAAATAGCTCTGATCATATCTCATTAGAGCTTTGTATTAAAGAGGGWCAAAGAATAATGCATTTAGCTAACTACTCTTACTTGTATCAGTGTTTAAATAAAAATAAAAAGGCAATAAGGAGTAATGATAAAATATATCTCCTGCATGTCTTTAGATAGAGAAATGGATCCATGGAGKATGAAGTGGAAGTCCATRTACCAAATCTCCCTAACACTACATKAAAAAAGGGGGCTCATGATCAAGTTTGGWTCAGACTCTKGGATAAATCAGCACTAATAATTAGTATGTACAGGGACTCCAGATCTTCCAGAGAGCTGAAGGCAGGTTTTGCGTTAAAGCACACATTTCTTGAAATGTAGTAAAATGGAGGAGTCTTCTTCTGCAAAGGGAAGTTTTGTCAAAACTTGAAATGTTGAAATTAGCTATTTTGGCTTTCTTCCTGACTTTGGACATTTTCAAATGTTTTAAGTCGGCTTAAGTTTTAACATTATATATCTAGACAGATTTAATTCTTTACAGTCTAGATTTAAAATTATGCTTTAGTGTAATCAAGATTTTCCAGCATTAACAAGTGCAGTTATTTAAAAGGACTGAATCAGTGGGTTTGGTTTGATTTAGTTATTTGAATTCCCTGGRAAACTTCAGCAGTTTAGCTTGTCATTCCCTTTAAGAATGAAGCAGCCTTTTAGCCTTGGYTCTTCTCTGTGCACCGGCAGGACATCCCTCTCTGTTTCCTTGGATTGATTCCTCCGATCCTGGGGCTCTTGGGCCTCGTGTCGGCTGAAGCAACAGCTGGAGGCTCCAATGGTTTCTGTTATCAAGGCAGACAAGCCTTAGGAGTCACAGGACACATGACAGATGATTGTTTTCTTAATTTTGCTCGTGAGTCATAGGGTTGCTTCCCAAATGTTTGGAAAGCTGGGAGACTCGCAGGCGAATGAATTCCAAAGCAGAGCACTTAAGCAACCGCTGCCTGCTTCTGCGGAGCGCGAGCCTGGAGTGAGTCACTGYGAACAGACTGTCCTGGTGCCTGCGCCGCTCCTTGGCCGACTGTATCTGGCTGTGAAGCGCTGCTGGCTGTAAAACACGGACCTGGTTTAGGAACAGCGCCCTGTGCCCCATTGAATCGGGCAGGGATTGCTCGCCTAGGAAAGCTAAGGCCAGCGGAGCAGAGGACAGGCAGTGCTGCAGAAACAGGGGCATTTCTTGTTCCCCAAAGGCTCTCTTTTGCCTTTTTGGGTGGCTAGGAGCCCGCTGGGCTGAGGRGAACCGTAGCGCAGGTGTCCCCACGCAGATGTGCTCTGGGCCTCCTTTTGCCCGAGCAGACGCAAGAGGAACAGGGAACGCTGCATTCTCATAGCGAGGCCTTCTTAATCACAGCTTCTCCACTGCTAGCACACGATGTCTGTAATAAAGATCAAGTCAAACTGCAAACCCAAAACACATTGTCTGGGTGTTGWGGAGATGGGAACCAGGAGTAATTGCATCCAAGAAAGTGCTGTATACCAGGGCCTGTAAAATCATCTGTATCCCTGACTTTTCACTGTGAAAAGCCAGTGGGTGGAATTAAACAATGCAGCGCAGTAATAAATCCTTCACAACTTCCAGATGGAAACTTAAAATCTGGAGGGGGTGGCTGGACATTACACCACTTACAGACACGAATAACGGTTAAACTGCTGGTTTCAGAAAGTGTTTTGTGCAGGGCCACCTTTGTCACCTCCCTTGACGTCTCTGCTCGGGCGGGGGGCGAGGAGCAGTGACCAGGGGAGCCTGGTGCTTTTGCAGCCTCAGCTGCTTGCAAGTGTTGCTGCATGTTAAGAGTTGGCGTTCAGTGTGGGCACACGTGGTTGTCCCACATCTGCACTGGGGATGTTCAGGGGAATGGAAGATGAAGGGAAGTCGGGAAGATAAAAGGAAGTTGCAATGTCCTTATGGTGTCATTTGAACAGTACATCAATCGTAATATTACTAAAATGATTTTAAACTCACCGTGGACTAAGCCTGTTGGGGGCAAGACTGTACTCAAAAATGTCCGTAACATTTTTTTTTTTTTGAGCTATTCAGCTCAGCCATCGTGATGCCCACACTGCAGTTTTGCTCCTCTGTGGTCRAACAGACCTTTGGGGTTGTTACCACTAGCTCTGGGTGCACTGCTTCTGGGGGAGTCTTAGAAATTGCTTTTAGAAGCTCTGTCTAGTTTTCCTGCAGTTGGCTTTGAAGCCTGCAGCAGCATATAGGTTTAGGTGCAACCTATAGGGAGTGCAGTCTGGAAGGGCAGTGCCTCCAGAGCTCTGCTCCACTGCAAGTGGTGAAATTTCCACTGCTCAATGGAAATTGTACAACAGTCCTTGTTGCATAGGCTGTGAAAGGCATCCGGAAGCATTTTATAGGGAATGAAACCTTCTTTGGCAGAGAGTAGGCTAATGCATCTCCTCCATTGCTAATTTTGTGATTAATATTACAGATGRGTAAACCTCTAAAGATACAGGGGTTATATCTGTTTTGAGTAGATATTTAGGAATTTGGATGCTTCTCCCATTGACTTGACCCTTTTGAACTGGTTGCAGCCCTCGTGTGACTCCACAGAAGCCAGCACAGTGACATCAGGGGTAACTTTGGCTCTCTAGTCTGTAAAAACTGGACTGCAAATATATGATGAGAAAAGGCTTTTTTTCTTTTCTTTTTTTTTTTTTTTTCCTTCCTGTGTGTGAGGTTTCTGGCATTCCTTTGGTTTTGGCTGGAGTTACCACCAGCCCAGTCGTTGTCATAGCATCTTGGCACGAGCAAGTCCGGTCTAGGTCAAAAAGGAGGAGTGAAAAACCAGCACGAAACTGCCTAAAACCATGAGCRAAGCTGAATGTTCCAGAAACTCAAGAAAGTTTGTGTGTAGCTGTAGGAAAAGGTGAAATTGGGGTTTACCATCGTTTATGTCAACTGTCTCACCTTTCCCACATTAAAGACGGTCTTTCCCCTATTATTCAATAGTAAACCCAGAATTTGTGATCTCCTTCCAGTAGGAGTTGGCTGGGGACTTTTGCTGTCCCTAAGAAGAAAGGGCAGAGATGGTGCCCGGTCATAACATGTTGCTTTTGACCAAGGGTCCTCCACCCAAGGCCACATCAGGAAGCTGAGAGGTGTCTCACTTACCTGTCTTTGAAGAAGAAGATCTCTCCTCTAATCTGTGCGACACCATCAAAAACAATTTCGTGCTTGCAGAGCTCTGGAGTGACGGGTCCCAGCGTTGGACGAGGGCCTGGTCCCGGRCCTGGCCCTGGCCCAGGTTCAACGTCCGTCGATACTTCTGCAATGGTGAACAGAAATACTGTGAGTCTGACATACTGTGTGTCATCCTGGGAATAGTCAGAACTGTCAGGATTTCATACATACAAATATTAGAAGGGCAGTAGCTTGAAGACAGTAGCTGAAGCAGAGGGAAAATACCTAACAGGATCTTTTCTGAAGCAGGAGGTAGCTCAGGTGGCCGTAGATCTGAGTTCTGGCCCGACCTGGCTGAGTGGCCTCATTCAAGACAGAGTCCCCATGTCTCCGTTTTCCATCACATCCACGTTGAGCCACCCATTTAACTTCAAAGACATTCAGATGCAGCTCCGCTGCACTGGAGTGTTAACCTTGGGATTATTTTTTATTGTACTGACTTTGAGAAAGGAGAGAAATGCACTTTGTGTCTTTGTTGAGACTCATTTGCACTTCAGCTGAGGAGACATCAAAGTAGATTTCTCTTCTTTCTAGAAGTGCCAACAGTTTATAAGTTTTAAAGGTACAAGTTTTGAGGCAACGTATGTTGTATTTTCCTGTCTCCATCAATAATCAAATATGCATGCACTTTCCCATTTGGTTTATTTATTTAATTTGGCTGCTTCTGTGTTGCCTTCTGAGGCACTTGCCTTTTTCTTAGATGCAGACTTGATGTAGTTAATCGAACAAGACATGAGTGTAGCTGGTAGAAGAGAGTCTTGAAAAGTGAAAGATTTATTTTCTCGTGTGTATATATATACACATATATATACACACGAGAAGTGGAGATTATATATATATATATATATATATATATATATATGAGAGAGTGGATATTAGTAGTAATTCCCATTATTCCCAAGAATGTCAGGAGAGAAAACAATAAATTTTCAAGATGTACCTACATAAAAGTACTTAAACCTCCCCGCCCCCCCCCCAGGGACTTGCAAAGTGCGTTTTTACATGAGTATCATCTCACACATTCCGTTTGCAAATGTAATTACAACTGTATGGCCTGAAGTGCTGTGAGGAGGGTTGCAAAGGGTTTTCCAGCTGGGATAGGAAATGAAGCCCTCCTCTCAGCTCCTGTGGGACCTGGGGAGCCTGGGGTGATGCGCGGCGAAGCCCCCATGCCAGGTATTGCAGACAGGGGGAGAGCATGACGTTTCCTTGGCCAAGTAAAGGCATTGTGAATTTTCGTTGATGGGTTTGGCATTTGTCAAGGGAGTCTGGGGGCTTCTGGTAATGCAGAAGACTGAGTGACTCCTCATCCTTAAGTTTAGTGCTATTAGTGAGAAATAGGAGCTCTGGCAATAACATGGAGGTGGCAGGGGAAGGAACAGGGAATGTTTCTGTCATCTGTGCAATTTCAGTTCCTGCAAGTCCCCAATCCCCCTGATTCAGCCTGTTTTTCTGATGATTTTGGTCAGTGGAGGAGGCCCTCACCGTATAGCTCCTGGATCCCTTTAATGTCGTCCTGGGAGAGTCGGAAGTTCTTAGTGTAGGTGTAGATTGGGGCCATGAGAGCTCCCGGGTCCTCGGAGTGCTCCAGCCCCATGGCATGGCCAAATTCGTGAGCAGCGACCAGGAAGAGGCTGTATCCTGAGTGACACAAGATGGAAACGTATTGCACAGGCTATTCCCCGTATTCCCATTTTATTTTCCCACTACCCRTCAAAAGTCTCCCCGTAGCAAACATCTTACTGTAATAAATAAATCACAGCTAATATTTGCAGTCTCTACTTTTCTGTGTCATATATGTGGCCAACAATGACAAATCAAACAATGGGTTTTGATTATTATTATTTTTTTCAGCACAGGTTTGAACTGCAGACTGGACCTCAAATCATGTTTTGCATCGTGAAATAGCACCCCAGAGCTCAACAGGTTGGCATGTGTATATTTGGCTGCAAGCAGTACCTGAACAGGTAGTGCCGTGCCCATGGTCAGGTTAAAAGCAATCCGCCTTACCCTAGGGCAGCATTTTATCAATTAATCCCATATGGGCAAGTCTCTGAGATTTGACAGTTATTTTCACCCCTAAAAGACAAAGGGGAAATGCTCATGCTGAAAAAACTCGTGTTAGCAGTTGATGTCTTTAAATGTGTTTAAAAAGCCTATATTTATTTTTAGCCACATTACAAATATGGACAAAGATTAACTGGAAAATGTTTGTTTTCACCATGCAAGCTCAATAGTTAGCACTAGTTCCGTGTTGGGCCAATATCATAGTCTAATTCTTAAGAACCATTGAAATACTGCAATTCTTTGCCCAATGGAGGGAAAATTGCCAATGAGAAAAACATTTTTGATTTTTTTTGGATGTATGTTGGGAAGATACTTCCATATAAACTTGGAAGAAGGGAATATCGTGGGTGGARGAGCACGTTGCTGTGGCAAGCGGCTTTACCTTGGTCAGGACAGAAGCCCCACTTGCGGTCGTCGTCGTAGCTGCTGGTGGACGCGCACCAGAGCTTGCCGTCGTTGCGGCCCGCGCTCGTGCACGACTCGTACTTGTTGCCGAGGAAGATGAAGGGGAACACGCAAGGGGCCCCCTCGGAGTTGCCGCCGACCGTGGACATTGCTRTGGAGAGCAAGGGGAGAGCGCGTGAAGGGTGAGCGTTGCTCGTTGACGCTGGGAGCTAAAATGGCCGTCGCGTGTTCCTGTCATGCCCATGGCGGCTCTTTGGGGCCGTTACAAAATGGCRGCTCCCTCACAGACACTGCGTCCTCCAGCTCGGTGCCTTTGGCACCCCCCTTGGTGCCCTTAATGGTGCCTAATACATCAAGTCTTGCATGCAAGAAGGGAGGGCTGGGTAGTTTGCAGCAAGGGCAAGCRAGAGAAGGCTGAAAATCCTACCAGTCTCTGGGCAGAAGCCGTATTTCTTGTCTCGGTCGTAGTCCTCGGTGGTGCCRCACCATCGGTACCCGTCCGTGCGCCCTTCGGTCGTGCACTGCTCGTAGGAGTTGCCCTGGAACTTGAAGGGGAACTTGCAGGGCTGCCCGTCACCGTTGCCGCCCATGGTGAATAGGGCTGGAGGGGAAAGGACGTAGGGAACCATGAGTACCGAGCGCGCTGTGAGCAGCCCTGACGGGAACGTCCTGCAAAGGTGTTGGGGTTATTGGCCATCCCTYGTGCCCTGTGCTGTTCACATGTATTTCACAGCCAAAGTGAACTGGTCTGGCAAGATGGACTTTGAGGCTTGTTTGTTTGTGTGTGTTTTCCCTTGTGCAGGCCCATGCGAGGCCAGGAGGAGACACTGATCACTTGCTTAGACCTTTTCTGGCTGAAGGGTGGCCAAGGGCTCTGAGGATGGGYGGACTGTGACGCAGATGAATCATTCTGCCTTTCTTTTCCACTTAAATCAGTAATTGGCTGCGGCTGCAGCGTTAAGGGCATGAACTCGCGTTACTCAAGTTTGCTCCGGGCACCCCGAGCGCTGGCCGGGCTCTCTCTGTGTCCTGGTGCCTCCTGGCACCCAGGGCCACGGGCAGCTCCTGTCACCAGGCCAGGCTCAGGGCAACAGGGCTGCGCCTGGCYGTGTCTTACTTGGTGTAAGGCTCTGCAGTTAGTTAGGAAACCTGCACTAAGTAGGGCAGTCTTTATAGACATCAGGGAAAGACTATTTTTTTTTTTTTAATGAGCTGGAAAGCAAAGTAAGCGGAGTTGTTTAGATGACTCACTTGCCACATGAGCTGCTTCCAGTTCTAGATCTGGCAAACACGGTATTTTAATAGACTTTTTTTCTTTTTGTTTAAACATGGCCAAATTGAAAAAAGAAAAAAAAAAGTACGGAAAGTCAATCTCTTCGTGCTTTGTGAGGAGTCCTTCTGAGTCACAGGCAAAATGCTGCTTTTCATTTTGCCTGAGGTACCATCGTGTGATGCTCACAGTGCCTCCTTCAGCAATTGACTTTGAAGTTTCCCCTTTGTTGGTTGCAAAACTSTTTGCCTGATTGCAAATTAAAATTAAAGGAAGATGCAAGATGGGTTTGCAAGACCCGCAGCCCTGCTGGGGAGGTGCTTGGCCGTGTGCCTGGCAGAGGAAACATCTCTGCCTCTTGCTCCTATGTGGGCTCTGGATTCCTGCGCTGGTCCYGCACAGCCGGCTGGCTGGAATCGGGAGCTGCCCCAGTGCGGTTATGGAATGGGAGAAGGAGGGAAACTATCCGAAAGGACAGGGAAAAGGGCAGCTAGGTGTGTGGGTGTCTGTCTGCCCGCTTGTCCCTGATCTCTGCTGCACTCCTACAGTGGCTGAGTGTGTGTGATATTTTCAAGAAGTAAACCTAGGTTTATCCTATAGGAGAGGAGGTTTGGGCAAAGCAGGGAACGAAGATCACAAGGGAGGTGAAGTATGTGTTAGGCTAAAGGACATAGTTTTTGGTTAGATTCAATTCTGCCAAAAGTTTATATTCCTACTTGTGTGTCCTCTCTAAGTCATGTGAGTAGCTGTCACCATGATAGGTCCCAGCTGCAGATGGGGTATGTAGGCAATCAGGTTTTTAGAAATTAAAAGACATTTTTTGTTATGTTAGGAGTGGAAGACTGATGTGTTCTACAACAGATTTTCTCTGAAAGCCGCTAGCATCCTGGTGCAAAGGAACTGAAATCCCCCCTTGGAAGCCATACAGCTTTGCAAAGCCCTTGAGCAATCCCGAAACTTGAGGGGCAGGAATCTGTTTATTGTTTGGCTACGCAGGCTGGCAGGGGAGCCCAAAGAGAGGGAAGCTAACTGCTTCCACACACACAGGCCTGTGATGTTTCAGAAAGCTGTGGGTATTGAATTGACGTATGCACATTAACGCACACATGTGCGTGTGCTCTGCAGGACGTGCTGGGCTTGCCTGCGCCACGTTGGGCTGCTCCTAGCTCTGGCAAAGCCCTAAGCCTGTCTTGTCTAGTTAGTTTTGCCTGTGAAGCAGCACAAATTCCCTTTCAGCAATCCGCGTTCCCCTCTCTCTCACAAGCTGCGTGTAGCCATCCGGGTATAAATAAGTGGAGTGCTGCGGTTCCAAGCAGGCTTGGTGCGATTAGCCCGGGCTCCACAACAGCTCCATTGTCTGCTGCTTCGCTGCCTTTCGCAGCCCTGCTGTTCCTCATTAGGAGGGAGCCGGAGCACGTCCTCCCGGGTGACGCCGTGCGCCCCTTGCTGCGGACGGCGGGCTGCCTGTGATGAAACCGGCCCCGCTGCCAAGAGCTCAGGGCGGTTGGTTGTGGTCAGCGGAAAAAAAACACGTGCGGGAAACGGCAGCGCAGGGAATGGAAGTGGATATGGGTGCCAGCACTGGAGCTGGTCGACGGGAGATGGAAGAAGTGGCTAAAAGCCCTTTACTGTGCCTTCTCATCCCCCTTCTGCTGAATTAGCCCCACAGGCTACTTACTGCCTTCTGGACTTGTTTGTATCTGTAGAGGTTTCTTGCTGAGTGGTATACAGGAGATGGAATTAACACTCATACAGCTACTAATTCTCTGAAATTTTGTGTCCAGCTCAAGCATCATCGAGGTTTTCAAGCATATATTTATATCCTTCTAGTGTTGTAAGGGAAGCATATTGCTGTATCATTTCACAATAGAGATAATTATGTATATTTAAAACAAAAAAAAAGTAGCTACATGGAAGCATTATACAAATGGTCTCATCTGTAAATGAATGCTTCCTTAGTCCAAAAAGGAAATAAAATCCTTATGAAGCCTAGAATTCTGTGTGAATGTCAGGAAGATGGAGATTATTATCTCCGCTTTCTAAACCCTGCAGCATTTTCCCACTGATAGAGAACTGAGCACACTGGGCACACACTGCAATTCCAGAGCACACCGTGGTGTTTCTGTGTGTAAAGTGAACAACTGGAACCATTCCATGAGTAAAAGGCTGCTCTGCCATGTGTTAAAGCCTAAACTAAACTCTAAAAATGCATTTGCTTTCCTAGTTAGCAGTGTGCATGGTGGCTTTGTACCAGCATTGGATTTCAACTGAAAATCGGTCATGCTTATTTTGCAAAGCAGCACGGTAGTGGGAGACATTTGCACGACTCGGTGTGCTGCATCTGCGTGGTTGGCCCTATCTGTGCTCTGAAAGGTGTCTGTAGGTCAGGAACCTGATCCTGCAGTGTCTTAGATGTAGGAGAGCCCTGCATTGCTTCAGATGCATCTTCAGCATCTCCTCGAGCTTAGAGAAAGGAGCTGGCACATGTCATCAGGTGCAAACCCTTGTGTATGAAGGGAATCTTTACAGAGTTAAGCCTGAGGAGCTACTGAGGAGCAGTAAATCTAAATATAGTGTCATGGACGTGGAAGAAGTACAAGGAGAAATAGATGGTTAAAAATTAGAATTATCTCTTAGGGAAGAAAAACATTAGAATCTGTGTTCCACTTACACTCGTGGGGACAAAAGCCGTATTTGCCGTCTGCGTCGAAGTCTTTGGTTGTGGAACACCAGAGGAAGCCATCGCTGCGGCCCGCGTCCGTGCAGCTGTTGTATTCCTTGCCGTTGAACCAGAAGGGGAATTTGCAGTATTCGCCATCCGCGTTTCCGTACTTCACCCTGACCACTGCAGAGAGAGGCACCAGGATGAGACGAGTCACCCGCGGGGACGCTGCTCCACAAACGTGCTCTGCATTTCCACTCGGAAACCCTATGCTCTGCTGGGCGCTCTGCTGGCAAGGTGAGCACAGCTGAAATAGTAACTGGTAATTTTGAAGGAATTACAGGGATATTACTCAGTGTGAACTGTTAGAAAGATCAGTCCTTAAAATCCACCCAGGAAAAAAATATATGTTTTCGTTGCTATGGCAATGCAAACTTGCAAACAGGCTGTTAATATATTTAGTAATTTAGCTTCTGGGGTAATATGGTTTGCGATGTGCAGTGTAATTGGAGAGATTCCAGGCAGTGCTTTGAGCACGAGCAGGATATGCCATGTGCCTCATAAACTGCTTTGGTATTTGTAGTTTTCCCTGAGCGAGCCCTGCTGCATTGGGGGTGCAGTGGTGACACAGGCACCCCTGGCTCCTGGGGTTTGGGTCAGTTTGTCACATATAAACGCTCTTCCCAAGCCTGCAGTACTGGTGCTGTGGTGTATGTTACCGTGCAGGCGATTTCCTTATCTGTAGCATTTTTTTATTGGCAGTAAGTGGACATTTGTGCAATACACGCACTAATACAGGGGAGAGTTTGCCTCTGCTCACTGCGATCCAGCCCTGTTTCGGCACCTACCTCTCCTAAAGGAGAGGCAGAAAATGACTATTTTGGTGTTGTGTTTTGAATTTACACTTTAAGGTTGTGCAGGGTCAGGCCTATTGCTAATTATGTTTCTTCAAGGGCTACCAGGAGAAGAATAGAAAGTGAAGTCCTGTGAAACACTTAAGGATTAAATAAACATTTTGGAGAAAAACAGTTTAAATTGCAAGCATTGCTTGTCCTCTGTAGGAATAGTTTCCCTAACGCTTATGGATGACTTGAGCCGTGTCAGGGAACACGGGCAGTGTGGTGCCTGAGGTGGCTCTGAGACACAGCTCTCGAGCACTGAAATGTGGTACCTTGGCCCTCTCCGAGAGTCCACAGCTCATCGTCATCGAAGTGGGAGTCTCCTCCGATTCCTGGCCCCGGCGCGAAGGCGTGAGCCAGGAGACCGTCTTTGCCATCAAAGGGGTAACCATCGCCGTGCTCTGCAGGGGAAAGCAGATGGGGAAAGAGCCATTTCTTATGACTGAGCTCTTCTTTGCACCCACTTTGAGCGGAAGGCAAACAGGCTGAGCACTTCCCACCGCTGTGCCGAGTCCCGTTGGATGCCCCCAGTGCCGTGAAGGAGCCCGTCCCTCCTCCCTGCTGGCCTCAGCCTCCCCGCAGGGCAACAGCATTTAAGTAGCTCTGCTGTTAGGACACTGTAGGCCTTTCTTGGAAGCCCCGGGGCTGCGGCTGGAGCAGGCTGGCAAGGGCATAGCCCGGCATTCATGGCCCTCCCGCCGCGCGGCCCCGTGCACCGCGCCGCTGCCAGCTCCTCCCGTTGCGTCGTGTGGCCTCCTGGCCTCGGGGCTTGCCCTAAATACAGAGGCCTGATTCTGTGCTCTGCTATGCTGACTTCATGCTGGGGTTGGTCTCTTGATGGTAGTTCAGCTTATTCATTGCTGTAAACTAGTGGTGGTTGTTAAGGGTCAGGTTCTGAAGTACATTTGGGTGCTTAATTCTCATCTGTTTCAAAGCAGATTCTTTGCTTTGCTAAGAGACAGCTTAGCAATGAATAAGCTCATGGAAGTCCCAGCTCCTGTGAATCTGTCATGCAGTTAAGTGCTAAGAACGAATGTGGAAGAAGCTTCCCCCCAACACTATTTCTGACTATAATCAGTAAAGTTAAAACCAAAGGAACACTTCTGCTTTTGTAAGAGTTCCCCTCTGAGACCCACGCCAGCCCAGATGAGCATCTGAAGCTTTGGGCTTTGCACAGAATCTCTGAAGCCTTTGAGGTCAATTCATCAGGAGCCTAAGCAAAGAAAACCAGCTCTAAAGAGAGTCTTGTGCACGGAGCTCAGTTATTCTTCAAGCTTTTCACTTTAGTTTCAAGGTCTACCTCCTAAGTGAGTGCTCTGCACAAGTGCCTTTGTTGGCATTATAAATTCTATGTCTGTCTATAAGGTAAAATGCTGAAAAGCTATATATGTTCTTTCGGGAGAAACCAAAATGGATGTGGAGGACGTGTAGAAGTGACAGGCATCGTGTTGCCTGCCATGAGCTAAACCCAAAGGAGAACTCAGTTTGAGGCCTGTGCTTTGAGATTCCCTGAGACTAACGAGTACATTGCAAACCTTCATTCGCAGTGGAGTTAAACTAGACGAGCTGTGGAGTTAAAACTAGAAGTCACCAATGCATTTTGAAGGTACATCATGTTGGAATCTCTTCCCCTAGCTCTGGCAGATGGAGCAGAGTGTTATAAATGAGGAGCCCAATGGCATTCCTTGCTCCTCCGTGGAGGGAAGCTGGTTCACATCATCTGAGCATCTGTACCAATACTTCCCAGTTCTATTTCTGATCGGCAAGTTTAAAAATAAAATGTTGCCCCTAGCAATTCTCTTTTGGAAAGATAAATATACCATAAGGATATTGTATAAATATTTCTGTCTCTCTCTCAATTATAAGAAAGAAGAAAAATCTCAGTGAAATTAGATCTRAGCCAGGACAAGCCAAGTGCAAACTAGGACAAGTTTTGCCAGGAGGGCTCGTGGGTGGTGCTTACTGAGGGCAGATCATTCCAGAACTGAGGATTAATGAAAGGAACAAAACCAAAAACATATGTAAAAATAGAAAAATATACCCCATCTGCCAAAATTAATCATAATGTCTGCTTCTCCGTCGTGTATTCGGTTAAATCTCAGCGGCGTGACGTCACTCCACACTTGAAAGGCTCGGGCAAAAGCATCATCCACCGTCTCGGGATCCAAATCCGGTGTGTAGCCTATAATCCTTAGGGGCAAAAGGAAGACTTAATTCAAGTATTAAATATTCAGGGTTTTACCCAAAATGTGCAGGGCTTTGCCTTCGTGCTGAGGTGCTGGCAAGACAGCACCTCGTGGTCTTTTGCTCCACTGAGATTGACATTTTTGAAAGCTTTTTAATGGCTTTGCAAGTCATGCTCACATTTTAGACTTGAACATACAAGTACAGTGCTGGCTTGTSAGAGCACTCGAGCCTCCTGTTTACCCCCAAAACAGCTCCCTGTCGTTCTGAAGGTTTCTGGAGTGGATTAGTTTGCTCTTTAGTAAGACAATAGCCCTTCATGTGACTCCTGAAGTGATTTGGAATAATGTGGATAATGATTTAACTTGTTTTCTTTTACTACTTTTTAGATTTCCAAGTCCCTCATATAGCTACGCTGTTAGATCTTCAGATGAGAAGTTACTTTTTAACATGGAAAATGCCCATCCTGCAGTTTATTTTAGCAGTGTTTACTCCTGGAGTTGCTGACTGATCATTCCTCACTTATGGCCAGCTACTTAAGTGGCCTYTTGCTTTGAGCTTTTCAACAGTTGGGCTAATCAACAGTGACTGATAAATGCACAATAATGCCTTTGTTTTGCTTTAAAAAGTGTTTTGATGACCTCAGTTTTCCTGCCTGCTGAATACAGAGCAGTTTGGTCTCCTAAATGTGCTCTACAGTTGTAAAGTGCTCTTTGGGAGCACTGGGGAGCCCGGCAGATGAGCTGCTCCAGATCCCCCAGGACAATTGCAATGGAGCACGGAGCAAAACCAACATCCCATTAATTTCARCCAGAACCTTTATGCTGAGTTTTACGTGATTATCCCTCAAATTTTCCAATTTAAGTTTTCAAAGTTCCAAAGTTTCAAAGTTTGCTGGAGCATCCAATAGTCACCCAAACATGGAGGGACAATAATTCAAGTTCCACCTAGCCCACCAAGCACTGCCCCAAGTCTGCCTGCCTCATTTAACTGGTTCTTGAAAGCAAGAATGCTTAAATAATAATTAAATATTATATATATGTACAGCAACACTGCTAGCCAGTACCTGTATGTTATGTGATTTTTTTCCCATTTTGGCTTTCTTGGAAAGAAGTTGTAGTTGGCCACATCTGGATTGCCACAGCGTGGTTTCTTCATTGTCTCAATGGTGTTCTGGTCCAAATCTCCTGTTTCGGGCAGCCCAAAAAATTTCTGCATTTTCTTCAACGTATCTTTCAGTACAAATAAATTGCAATTGTCTTTTGGGCACCCATAGTATTTGTTCAGGTATTGCTTGAGGGGAAAAAAAAAAGGCACAAAACAAAGACTTTAAAATTCATAAAGGAGATACTTAAATCACTACAAGTAAATATTGAAATTCCATGTTAATTTTCATGTCTGTAATTTGCAAGTTTTCTTTTCAAAATCACTATTATTAGTAACTGAGTAAGCAGCAATATCACCTAAATTGATATTAACCACCTTGGATCACACAACACTGCTAATTAAGCAATCATTCCCTCTATTAGCTATCACCTTTACTTAATGAATTGCTTTACTAATAAGTAGAACATAGAGCTTTAATGTAGAAACTACAAAGTAAAAATTAGTTTATACATCATAAGGAAACCAAAATAAGGATAAATCTGCTTGCCGTTTTAGGTTTTCTTTTTCCTGCAAGACTCTATGGATTATTGAGAAACTTGTGAAGTTGAGGTATCAAAGAAACTTCACAAATTGAGACCACAGTAAGTGAGAAGGAAGAAGTGTTTGTTTATTTGCACTGTGCAGAGCTGTTTGCATGTTGTCTGTGTATGTTTTTGAGCCAACCATTGCAAAGACCTGAGCAAGAAAGTCTTTGATAGCATTTCAGTTGCCTGGCTGCCTCATCCCATCAGTGTCTACTTAAGGTCTTCATGGAGTCCTCCAGCACACTGTGACTAGACAAGTGGCTTTGATGCATCTAAGGTGGCAGGCCACAAAACATCTCCACTTAGCAGTAGTCCCAAGAGATGAAAAAAGCAGCACAGATCCATTTATTTTCTGGTTCTCTCTAAAATAATAAGAAAAACTCAGCTCTGTTCCCTGTTCCAGTGTGATCTAAGCATACTGCAATTAGAAATGAGGCAGTAGATGTGCAAGGCATCACTTCTAACGCTGGGAGCGATTTCTAGACCCGGATGCAAGTAAGTCCAGCCTGTGATCATGGAGCAGCAGTGGCCTGGTTGCTCCCTGCYCAACATCAGGTCTTTCAGGTGCCCTTGCAGGGTCACACACTGCTGTTCTCCTAACCTGCAAGTACCTGGCTATGGTCTCATGTGGCCATGCAGGGTCCCACCACCTGTGCATTGCACAGGTGACCCCACACCAACCCTTTGGTGTTTGCTCCCCTTTATGTGCAACCCTGACAGCCTGGGAGCTTCTCAGAGAAGGGATCAGCCCTGAGAGCCTCTCATGGAGAGAGGTGCCATAAAAGCAAACTCATTCAAATRTAATAATAAAAAAGACCTCTAAGGAAAAGCAACCAAGAAAACTACCTGTATCGTTACACCTGGGGAAAAAAGAATCCTTTGTCAGCTCTGTTCTTGGCAGGAGAACACTGAAATTTGGTTACACAGCAGGTTGCCTGCTAGGTAAAGGCCTTGGATTCAACATTTGGATCCAAGATGAATTGAGCTAAGTTGTAGTTTGAGCTATTGCCTTGGCTTGGACTGTTACGCAGATAATCACTGATGAGAATAAATACAGGATTCAGCTATTGAGTTTGCATCATTATTGAAGGGCAGATAAATGGACTAGGGTGAAGATGTCAGTTTGGGCACTTGCAGAATGATAATAACCAATAACTAAWTTTTTTTCATTCATAAATTACAAGCAACTTGACCAACTAGCTGGAGACTTRGGCATTAGCCAGTAGAGTGAACCCTTTGCTTCCCGTATACCTGCCCTGGGATTTCAGGTTTACGCTGTCCTGCACCTYGCTCTGAAAGAAGAGCTGGAGCCACCTAAGGCAGCAGGCGCCGCGGAGCTGCCACCCGCGCTGCCCCATGGCACGGGGCGGGGGGCTCCCTGCCAACCAGGATGGATGGGAAAGGCTGCAAGGTTCTCTTTAAGGTATGGTTGGCTGCAGAGAAAGGCACCCTTGGAGACAGAATCTAAAATAGCAGCTACAGACTCCAAGGCAGGAGAACTGTGTGAACGAGCTGAAGGAGTGTTGCCCCCAGCTGTATCAGAAAAGTGGGTTAATGATTTTTGACCAAGAAGCTTGATGGGCTGACAGCAGGCACGAGTCCCTGGACTGCACACTGCTTGGAGGGTACCTTTGCTTTGCCCATCTAGTTAATTGACTGAGGCTCACCCAGGATAAGGCCACGGATACGATCTCTACACCAGTGAAATCCAGCAGAAGAGATGCTGTGAACGCACCGAGTTCTCATCCAGTCCTGCAGTGGCCCGCTCTGCCCTGCGCTCAGGTCCAGAGATGTCTTGAGGGGAAAACAATTGACTCCAGTTTCCCTTGGAAACTCCTCCATCCATCTAGTGAGTACACACAGACTTTACATGATTTTTATAACTCCTTCTTTTGAAGGGGTATTTGCCCAGGGGAGGTGGATGCCCTGCAAGAAACGGGCACACGAATACCACAGGAGCTTCACTTCTGCTGTGAGTTTCCTCTGGCAATCRGTGAGACCTGGTACCCTGATGCAAAGCGCGTTAAGGGAATGTGCAGGCCCGTTTGCAGGATCTTCTACCATGAGCTTAAACTTGATGTACTTTGGGCATATTTTATTGGGTGTCTCTGTGTGTCTCCCAGTGAGGCGCCGTGCCACAGCGCGAACCACATGTCCCAGCTGAAGTCTGCTAAAGCAGCAGGGTGCTCCTCTTGCCATTTGTGGTCTGGGAGCACGATAAATACAAAGCAATATAAAACATGGCACGATAAAGAATTGTATTTGCTCGGATTATAAATATAAACCTAAGCCCTCTCAGTTTTTCCTAAAATGGTGATTTTAGTGAAGATGAGAAATGAACATAACCAGCTGTTCTATRAGGAGAGAATCCTGAAGAAAATTTAGTGTCTCTGTAAACCACATCTTGGCCTCGGCTGCAGGCTGCAGTTTCCCCAGAGTCAGCAGGGAGCTGCGGGGAGCTGGAATTTCGATCCAGCCCATTAATGAAACAGGGTCCAGCTGCAACGCAGCAGTTCGTGTCCCGCTGCYGAGCGCTGGGGCCGCTCACGTGGAGGGGCTGCGGGAAGGAGCCAGGGAGCGACACCCGCAGACAAAGGAGAGCCGCAGCCCTCGGAGTGCCGGGGTTTTCCTTGGGCTTCGCAGAGAACATAGAGAAATGGAGAGAAATAAAGCGGGGGAGGTGGGGAGTGCCACTATTGAATAAAAGCCTCACTGTGCCTAGGAAAATAGATTATTTAAGAGTGGTTAAATTACCGTTAACGTTAAGTGACCGCACTCTCCCACACATGCTGCCCCTATCTTGTGGCTGATGTGCTGCCAAGGCAAAACTGGGTGCTTTTTTGGGGTCAGTTTGTCTGCTTTTTCTAAACTTTCCACTTGCCCCCCCCCCGCCCGGTTGGGAATTCTGGGTCCGCCCGCCCGCAGAGCTCCTTTAACCTGGCAGGGTTTCCCAAGGGGCAGCCCGGCTCCCAAAGCAAAGTGACCACCTTTCAGTCCTTTATATGCTAAAATAAGAATAATTTATCTCAATCTGCCTTAAAATGGAGTTACTGCTGAAAAAGAGAAATGCCTATAATTTGCATGCTAAAATAAGAATAATCCATCTCAATCTCCCCTTAAATGGGCTTTCTCATAATATGATTTTTATGAAGGTCCACGGGGCTAAAATAAGGTTAGAATAAAATGTTGCAGAGCTATGGCTGCAATTTCCTAATGTCACATTCAGGAATCCAAAGTGTTTTTTTTTTTTTTTTTTTTTTTTTTTTGGTTCCAGACCACGTTTAGAGAAGAATAAGTCTTCAAAGCTGCGATAAGGTTTTCTTTTCCAAGTTAGAGCTAGTCATTATGGCTTCTGAAACCCGAGCAGCCTTTTGCCTGTAATTGCTGCTTCAAGCTGTGCTTCTGCCTTGCGTGGTAAACAACCTGGAAAGCCGGATTCTGCAGAGCTCTGTGTGCTACCGAGCCTGCAGCTCCGGGAGCCTTAAGTCAAATAATAGATGCATCTTTTTGCCCTCCTCCCCTCTCAACCATTGGAGTCTCTTGTCTATAGCCACRGGGATTTAGTGAAGTTATTTTGCTCGTTCGGACTTAAAACACACACACAAAAAAAAAAAAGACTCTATGTGCTGGCTTTAAAATATTAAGAGAGGAAACGTTGCTTGGCTCCAGCTTTAACTTGGGAAAGCTGATACTGTGCTCGCTAGCTTGCTCTTGCAGAGGCTCCAGCGCGCGGATGCTACAGTCATTTCCTCGGCTCGAGCAAGCAAAGAAACATCTGCTAATGAAGAACAACAAGACAAATCTGAAGTAAAGACGAAACGGAGACTTACCACTGCTAGTTCTTTGTCTGTTTTTGGAGTGCTGTCCCCGGGAAACTTAATGATTGGTGACGGCGCAGCTAAAGTTTTGCTARAAAGATAGACGTGGATTAATAGTACTTCAAAAATGAAGCCAAAGGCAACGTGAGTCTTCATTCTGCCTAGACTTGTGCTCCTTGGAGAGAGGTTTTCCTGCCCGGCTGTCAGTTACTTGAGCTGCACCAGTTGCTTATGTGCACATCTTAACTCTCCGCACCGTTTTCTCTTTTGCTTGCTCTAGCAATTCCTTTGTATGTTTAAAACATCCAGATGCGCAGCCTCAAGCTACCACAAGAGGAAGTCTGAAAACTGGTGGAAACATGAGGAAAGGGCAGTTACGATTTGAGATTGCTGTGATTTTAAGGTAGCAACAGGCAGATACTTATTACCTCTGAAAGAGGCCACGTTTTCTCCTTGCATGCGGGGACAAACACGTTTAGCTAAGCCAGAGAGCACCAAGGGGTGAAATCTGAGCTGATGTTCAAGGGTCCTGGGTGCATTTTATGCTTAAAAACTTTTCCTAAGCGTTATTTTCTCGACTGAGCTTTTGTATTATTTTTTAGCCCCTTTTCTTGCCACAGCCCTGAGACTCCCTTGCAGTCCTATGTGGCCTGGCTGCTCCCCGGTGCCTTCAGAGAACACTTGGATTACAGATGTGGAGGCAGATGTTGCGGCACGGCCGGGCGATGGGGGAATGGGGCAGGTTGGGCTCGTACAAAGGATCCCCCAGCTCCTGTCAGGGGAATCACCCCAAASTCCCCATGTTCTTGGGCAGGGGGCTGGGCCATCGCTGCGGCTGCATTAATCTGAATTATTGGTGTGCACAGATCCACCTTCACGGGCAGGCCAGCCCTTTTATTGTCTTGCTCATGCTACGCTGAGATGTTCCTACACACTGAATGTGCTTCAGCAGAGTGTCCTTAATGGAGGGGCTTGGCTTTGTGAGGCTTTCCCTGGTTCGAGTCTTGTTAGCAAATTGTTCTGCTGAGGAGAAGGGAAGGTTTTGTGGGTATTTGGTATTTATTCATAATATTTTGGTATTTGATTAAAAATATTTAGCATTTACTATTCTTTGGCTTGCTTCTAGTGTCAGACTGTTTTGCTGACTGTACCCGTACTGCATTAGCTACAGAAAGCGAACACAGTTATAATTACAGCAACA